AGGGAAAGCGATGTAGGTTATTTCCCACATGAGTCAATAAAGTCTTCGTGCATATTAAAATTTGCACTCCCACTGAACTGCACTAGGATAAAATATACTTTTAATAAAATTCAGGTCCAAGCAAGCTGCTTGGAATACAGAATTTGTATCTGAGAAAGGTACATCAAATCTTACTTTAGTTTCAAAAACATATTACATATGCCTCCACTAAAGAGACTGTCCTGGCAAAGACACAAAGGCAAAGTAGTAAAGCAGAACTACAGAAGTCAGATCTTTTTCTCCTTTCCTCACCCTGCCCCTCCTCCCAAACACCTATGCAAGGCATAAATACCTAGCACTAATGAATTACTTAGAAGGGAAAAATAAAGATAATGTCTAGAAATTTCACTTAGATTCTAGCCTTGTAAGTAGGAGGGGAAGGGGTGACCAGAGGATTATTTCTAATGCTTTTACATACCTATTCCATAGCCTTCATACAGTTGTCTTTCACGTTCTATGGTCTGCTTGATGACAGTTTCCCGTGAGCTATGTTGTCTTCCTTGTCTGCCTTTAATACTGTTTTGTAATTCAATCTGCTCCAATTCAGCATTGAATCGACACATGTAACTGAAAAAAATAAAATTCATTTATGCTAGATGCAATCATACAAAACTTTTGCAAAGACTTTGGTAATCTAAAAAGTTATTTGATCAATTGTATTTATTTTCTGTATTAGTCAGGGGTACTTCTTGAATTTGAACTACTACTTTAATCTTCAAAGAGGGAGCTCCATTTAGAACTTCCTTTGAATCATCTGCAGCTTCCAGAAGAACTGTTTTGAGGTGTTTTTTGCTTGGTTTTTTTTGTTTCTAAATGTGTGTATAAAACAACACTCCCACAAAATTGTAATTCACCTGCTCTGGAAGTTCAGGGTTAAATATAAGTATTCCTAAATTGCTGGATATCACCACCTCAGTAATGACTTTTTAAGTAAAGTTCTTTTTTGGTATGTGTTCTATTTCATCTCACAAATATCCAACCGAAATCCAAAAAGTAAGATTCTACTGCCTTTGCAGTGTCACTAGTGTTGATTAGTAGTTTCTAGGTTTCATCCAGCAGCACGGAAAGAACAGAGTTCCAGCTTAGTAGATCCAATTTGGTATTTCCTGCCCTAAAAACTGACCATGAGTATAATGGAATCTGTGCATTTGTCACTGAATACCTGGACTAGCCAATTAATGTAATTATTACTGCCCAAATCATTTAGAATCCCATACACACAACAAAACCAGAAATTAAATAATTAAAAAACCCACCACAACAAACAACAATACATTACTTCAGTAATTCTAGAGTGAATATATACAGTTGTCAATATATAATTAAGCTCAGTTGCAATAAAATAAAAAAACTTGGTATTATTAATAGTAATATATAAGAAGTCCTCTGAGTCATCATCATTTTACAGATCTTATGTAAGAACATTATTTTTAAATAAAAATTAAGCATATAAATCCTATTTTTAATGCCTGTCTTACTTTTCAATTAGTTCACCAGCTTCCTTCTTGGTGTACTCAATCTTACTGGGGTCAAGGTGACTTTGAAACCATTCCAATTTTTCTCCTACAAGAATAAACTTGTTATTAATAATTACACCATCACTATAGCAGCAACACATTCAATTTCTTCAGAGTTTTTGGAATAAACTCCTAATTTTTCAAGATTCTGAATGGCATCAGAGACTTGTAGATACTGTATGTACCCGGTATGAAGACAGCTGTAATAGAAACACTCTCACATAATTTCAGATGCATTTTACAGCTTCCTAAAGAAAAAAAAAAAAAAAAAAAAAAAAAAAAAAAGATGTTAGAAGATGTTAGGCTTTTCCTTTCTGGAAATTAGCATTAAAATATCACTGGATCAATTGCTTAAGATGGAAACACAGGAAGGCCCCAAGGGGAGAAAAAAACCACCACAATGGCTGAGCAAGAGTTACGATTATCACAATTTTTAAAGAGATCAAATTGAAAAGGTACAGTGTCAATAATATGAAAGAGGAAAATATTCCAGGTTGTGTCACAAAGTCTTGAATGTAAAACCTAGCACAATGAGTCTACTAACCTACATTTATAATCCTCTTTTACAAGTGACTAAAAGAAGCATGGAGACAAGTACAATAAATATATATACAGATATCCAAAACATTAGGTCTATGTTACCCTGTTGTCATGTACAATGACTAGATTAGGCTATACTCAGCCCCAAGTTCAACCCGATAGATACTACTTGAGTGAACATGTCAGGTATTTTAGTTTTAAGATTACAGAGTCAGATTATATAGAAAGTCTAATTGGAGTATCTAAAAAGTTGGGAAAACTTAAAATCTATGCTAAATCTATGCTATCTATGGAGTACTGTATTCAGTAACAGACGTTTCTGCTCACCAATGATACTCAAACGCAAAGCTTTGTCAGTCTTCAACCTGTGAGAGAAAAAAACAGGCATATGAGCCAGGAATGAATACCATACAAATAATTACCTTAGTTTTCTTTCTCCAAAAATATTTCCTTTCTTTGAGTCACAGTGAAAGTCAAGGTAAAATTTCAAATAGAAATATTTACCAAATTCAGAACAGTGTAAAACTTACTCTGTTTCATCTGAAATGTCTACTTTTTTGTCAAACTGGTAGCTGAAATTTGTCCAGCTTACCTAGTAAGTTAAACAGTTTCTTGGAAAAAATTAAATAGAAAAACTGGGATAAAAAACAGGACAGAACACTTTTCTTAGAGCATAGCAATAGGAATTTCATTAAAGACTTGCACTGTAATAATTTCATTAAGTATTTAGAATATTATGCTGGTACTTTAAGTGAGTTTGGAGATCAAGTCCCTGCTGTGAGCTTTAGGTGGCAACAAAGCCAGCCAAGAACCCTCTGCAGCACGTTGCCAGGGAGAAAACTACAATGCTGTCTAGAAGAGCTGCCTGATTAAAGCATAGATATATTACAAGATTTATGATTCTAAACCATTACAAATTACCTGTACCTGCAAGGGTCAATACATGCTTATTTATAAAGGAAATGAAGTTCTGGAAGAAAAACCTTCAGTATACAGGTGTACACAACTGATTTCAGTTTTTGCCTTACTGTAGTTTATTCACTTCTTGCTGTTACAAGAAGAACCAAAAGTAGCACTCCAACATGAAACATCAGCACAGGTGCCTGTATCAGTATAACTCTACCCACAGAGACAAGCACCAAAAAATCTGACTGTGCCATGTCATAATGAATAAGGAATCAGTACATCACTCCTTCACTTAGGAAGTTTTCTTGTGCACTTTGGCAAAGTCACAGACAAAACCACTAAGAATCAAGTATGATTCAGCTATCTTCAACACAAGAAGCTAGACCCTAAGCAGCATTCTTATTAGATCTTGGAGTAAAGTCAAAGTAGGTGACTAAGGTCCATGTGTGACACCAGCATCATGCCATTCAGATTACAAAAAGCAAAATGCTGCAAAAAGAAGAAACTTAACTCATAAGGACCACTTCAAAAATCAAGTAGGAGAACTATATACTTCGTATAACCTGACTTCATTAATTTAAACCTGTCAGTTTGTATGTTCCAGCAGTACTAAGCTATATAGGTATTTTATCAAGGTAATATCACAGTGTAACAGTTCTCTTCCACCACTGCCCTCCTCTCCACAAACAAAAAGTATCTAGTGTGATGTTATTCTTTGGTGTGCACACAGATTCTGCACAGTCAACTTACTTTTCTTTCTTTTCCTGTTTGTGTGCTTCCCTTGCAAGCTGTGCTGCTTTTCTGCTGTAAGGATGGATAACTTTTTTCTCTTGCTTCCCTCCTTGGGTTTTTCTTAACTTTGGCTGAAAAGAAATCAAAGCTGTTATACACACTGAAGTTAAGTAAAACATAAAGGGAAGACTCTAATAGATCATGCATCATTATCTCAGAAAGCCCTTAACTTTTACTAGCAGTTTATCAGTTTCACCAGTTAGATCTTGCCTGCCTCAGTAACAAACAAAATTATTTGACCATGGTACACGCTGTAACAAAACTACTGGAGCACAGAAAATGCTGTAAAAAATCTTACATAGTGGCTACTCTCAAAGTATCCATTTTGTAGAACTCTTCAGTTAGGAAATTAAGATTACCACTCTACCTTTGCAGTGAATGTCCACATTCAAGTTTGTATCTAACATATATTGCACCTGGGTTTCTGACAAAGGCCATTTGTAATTTGTACCACATAACAAAAAGGATCTTCTTGTCCTTCCTCCCCCCTAGACCATGAGTGCCTCACAGCAGGGAGCAGCCAGACCTTCCTTCTCTAGCCCTCCATGCAGCAGAGAGGAAACACTACTCAAAAATGTAAACAATGTTAGCAATAGTTTATGTTTGCTACTTCTCAGTGAAAAAGCGTTTGAAGAAAACTGAAAGCATTTATCAAACAACATTCAATTTAAATCCTCTGAAGCCTTTACCTGTGTGCAAAAGGAACACCTGAAACAAGGAGGCTAAAGGTGCAAATGCAGGAACCCGCCATCAATAAGCGGCAGCGCTAGCACATCCCATCTGTGTTAGCATCTGCCCTTAGGATTGCGGGGAAGAAAACATTTCAGCGCTGAAGTCACAGACAAAGGACGCTGAAGCCCCTTCAGAAGTGCCCTGCGCTGGTTTCACACGCGAACCCCTCTGGCCATTCCAGATCCGCCCAGCTGCCCTGCTCCAGCGCCGATCCCGCCGGGAAGGCCCCGAACGACTCGGCCCTCCCGGCAGGAAACGCCCGAGCGCCGGGCAGGGTCCTCCGGGCCTCCCGTGCCCCGGAGGGCCGAGCGGGAGGGAGCGGCTGC